GATTTGGAACAAGAGAGATTGAAAAACATGCTTAGACCTGCAGCCTTGATGGAAAATAATGTTAAGTGTTGATTGATGCTTTATTTGCGCAGTAATTGATGCTTGCTCCATTACACAGGAAGAACATTTCAAAACATGTACTTGTGTGCCCAAAATAAAAGTTAAAAAAAAATAGCGATGTAGCTAGAAGCATCTTCTTACCTGAGTGTTATTTCTTTGTAAAAACTGAATATAAAAATGCCTGGTCAAATTATCAGCGTAATGAATTTTATACTCAGAAACACCACTAAAGGGCATGCACCAACGGTGACTAAAAATATGTAAGATATATTTGCATGCTACGTTGCTCCGTTTTCTTGAGCGGAGTAAACCTTCACGCTCCAAACCTACGTAGACGAACTTCTAAAGGCGACAAAAGCTATCGTTACGCGCCGGAAACTGGAAGTATTGCAGTGTTTCTAGGTCAACATGTGATGTAGTTCTCAAACCAGAGAGCTTAATCGGTTGACGGTTTGAGTTTAATTTGTGAAAGTTCATGGATCACGGACTAAAAAAATCATCGGACACACAGAAAGAGCCATTAGTAGCGCGCTTCGCAAATTCGATTCATCACTCATACTTCAGCTAAGACAATTTTACGTATTATCACAGACGGAGCACTTTGCAGAAACAAAAAAAAAAAAACAGTCCTACCAGTATTTAACGACACACCCTGGGCGACACACATGTCGAGACTGTGTGCTGGAGGAACAGTTTTCCAGGATTAGCATTTTGATGACGTCACTTAGGAACGCTCTCCAATCATTGTTACCGCTTTTGGGCGTTATCGAGAGAGAGTGATGTTGTTCAAAAGAGTTTGGAAGAGAGAGAGTGGACGGGGACATTATTGGGGTTTGCGGTATTGCGGTATTCTCCGAGCCTGCTGGATGCGTTTTTTTTTTTAACATTTTGGACGGTATTAAAAATTATCCTCCAAGTTCTTCAACGTTTTCCGATGCCTTTTCCAGTTTCCCATTGGAAAAGGGTAAGTTATTTTTAGTTAATAATCAGCCAAGACGCGAATGGATGTTACTTATTTTGCTTACTTTGTCTAAATCGAAAATTACAAATTCCTAATTGCTATTTCCGTGTTATTTGCTCTAAACTTGACATACAGATTGGTGGTTTCGGTATGACGTTGAAGTTTGACCCGGCCGATTGAAGTGTTGCGGTATTTCACGATGTTATTTGCGATGATGCGGTATTTGCCGAATTTTTTTTTTTTTTTTTTTTTGCGGTATTGCGGTGTTCAGAACCCCCCGACGTCCCCCTCAGAGAGAGTTACAATCAGATGTATGTGAATTTAGAAACATTTAACATTCTGGTTACATAACATGACAAAATTTTAGTAACTATGATTGATTAAGTTGATTAAAAGCCAATGATTTATAGCCAGCATCGAAATTAGTAGAACATTAATATTGACATGACGTCTTAACTCACACTCCAGTGTCGCAACTCATGGTTTCACGGCCTGTTTGACTGGGGCATGCCGTTCCCCCACAACTTGGATTCCGTGTAATTTTTATCGTGCGCGTCTTGTTTGAAATCCCGCAACCACTGCAAGGACCCCACGGGTTCCAGCTCCAGGCGCAATTGACAGGGCAACATTGTGTGTTGCAACTTCGAGTCGCCTTTAAAGGGTGGTTGCAAGAGCCTCCGCAGACCGCGGGTACAGAAATCCCTCTTGTGCGGTGCTGCGTACCTCTGTCGCATGGTTTTGTACAGGTGCTCCAACTACTCCAAGGACCAGGCGTGCAGTCACGTTTACATCGCCTACGTCGTCGTCTTCGCCATGAATCAACCGAGGAGAGAAAACAAGTTGTAAAGAGCAGAGCCAAGAAGATCGCGGCGACCTTCATGCCTGGGTTCCCGTTGACATCGCAAATAAAATTTCCGATAGAGTAATGTGTTGTATAGTATTTCGCTGAGTCATTTTTGAATTATAAGTCCCTAAAGCTGTAATTATGGGTGTTTTTAGCAGGCCATACCGTTGCTATGGTAACCCATTTTGGCACAAAAATGGTAACAACGTATTCACCAATGATTGCGCAGTTTTTTGAAACCATGATTGTAGCATCGAGTGATAAAGAGTGCTTATAATGACTCATCGAAATCTAAGTGCTGGAAACTGTTTTGAGCCACTTTAAATGCCCTCTTCCATTAGCAAAAAAGAAAATGAGAGGAATCATGCCGGAAACTGGAAGTCTTGCAATATTTCTAGGTCAACATGTGATGTAGTTTTTAAACCAGAGAGCTTAATCGTTTGACGGTTAGATTGCGTCGCAAAAATACCGTACTTAAGAATTTTGCTGCCCCTGAAAACCCGCAAAGATTGAACATAGACGATTTTTAAAAATAGCCTAGGTGTCATTTCGCACTTGACTGGTTAATAAAATGCCCTGTTCCATTAACAAAAAGAAAAAAAGAGGAATCAGTACAATGTCAATACTTGTCAATACAATGTCAACCGAAAGTTCGCTTAACACGAAAATCTCCCAACCGTATGTCTTCTGTGAACAAATTACATTACGACTAGTTACGACTAGTTTTACAACTGATGAGGTAACTACAGGTAAATATTTCGAAACACTAAACTTCACTGGATCTTCACAACCTAGGCAACAACACATACAAATCGACAGCATTACAAACGTTAACAAACGTCAGTTGTACTTGCACTGAAGTGGTGCAAGACCGTGTTTCATTCACGGGGCACGTTCCTTTGCAGGAACTTTGTATTATGATATTCGGCGACCGGTGCTGAGTAGAGTTTCCACATGTAGCACACTTACTCCACGCACTCCACGTGTAAACACAGTTGAAAGGACAGCAGTCCGTATTGCATATTTTCGTTTCTAGCAAATGGTAATGGCAACTCCCTCCACAAGACTCCGTGCTCGTTTTTGTCCGCGTGCGCGATGTTAACCCACCGCCGCACGATCGAGTACATGCATTCCAAGTGCTCCAGGCGCTGACCCTGCAGTTGACGGGGGGACATCTAAAGCGTTTTCGTCGTCGCCTTCTCCACGCGTTTGAAGGCGTCAAAACAACAAGGATAGTCCCTATTGCTAGAATTACAACAGCCCACCGCATCGTAAGTGGAAAGGGGCGGGTTTTAATCAAATGTACGTTTTCATTTATTTAGTCACAATTGATTCCGCGTTCCAAGAAAGCTCTCCAAGCGGAGCTTTCCCGCGTTTAATATGTTGTGATTGGATATCGATAGTCATCACGCCACCACATAACATAGGATAAAGTGTCGTTAGAAGAAATGTACAAGTGTCTGTCTATCATAGAGTAAGATCCAACGCAGACTTCTTTGGGCTCGTCACGCAAACGGAGGAAGATTGCGCAACGAGCCCAGAGAGCCTCTGCGTCGAAGACTGATCATAGAGGAAATTTGTCTTATTTTTTAGATTGGTTTTTCGGGTTTTGCATTTGAAATATCCGGTTTTTCGGTTTTGGAGGAATACCGACAGGTCTAACAGGAGCAGGCTCGATTACCAGCTGCTGTTCGGGAAAGGAGCCCGCGCTCCTCCCGAGACACGACGGAGCGGCGTAAACAGGAGCTAGTAGGATTTTATTGTTTGGCAACACCAACGTGGCTGCAATAACGTCACATGACAACACATACTGGATTCTCGTCCTATTCCCCTTGGATCGTGGAGAGAAGAAAGCGATAACGATGCTGACATCATTCAGACAACCATTGAAGCTTTGTAAAGACCCCTGATAAATGTATTCTGCATTCTGCATGCGAAGACGAAATTTAGTGGGGATTTTGCAATGTTTACTTTTTTAGATCAACATATGACAGACTAATTACTAATCGGGTCAGAATTCATTTGATGTAGATTTTGAACGAGTGGGATTTGCAAACTTGTTTAGACTCAGCCTTGATGGAAACTAAGTTTAGAAAGTGTTGTCAGATTTATTTTTTGCGCAAATATTACTTGACTGTACTCACTCCCTTACATAGCCTGAAGGACATTTCAATACATGTACGTGTGTGCGCAAAATAAGAATTAATAAAATAGCGATGTAGCCATAAACATCTTGTCAATTGAGTGTTGTTTCTTTGTAAAACACTCCTTGCAATTTTTACATGCCTTCTTTTCAAAACTGGCGCGTTGGCTGACAGCAATAGAAGCAATGCCTGATCAAATGATCAACGCTGTGAATTTTATACTCAGCTCATAACGCACAAGTAGGATAAAAGCCCTTAAAATGTCACTAAAGGGCATGTACCAACGGTGTCTAAAAATATGTAACATATATTCCATGCTAACGGTTACTCCGTTTTCTTGAGCGGAGTTAACCTAGCCTGTGTACACAGTCCAACGAACTTCTAAACGCGATAAACGCTATCGATACGCGCAATGTTGTAATGTTTCCAGGTCAACATGTGATGTAGTTTTTAAACCAGAGAGCTTAAACGGTTGACGGTTAGATTGCGTTTTGTTTGTGTATCAGTTGAAGGGTTAGATTTTTAAAAATAGTCTGGGTGTCATTTCGCACTTGACTGGTTGATTAAATGCCCTCCTACATTTGCCAAAAAGAAAACAAAAAGGAATCATGTCAGTACCTCCTTTGCGCAACCGAAAGTTCGCTTAACACGAAAATCTTCTAACCGTATGTCTTCTGTGAACAAATTACATTACTGATGAGATAACTAAATATTTCGAAACACTAAACTTCACTGGATCTTATCAAGCTAGGCATCAACACATACAAATCGACGGCACTACAAACGTTAACAAACGTCAGTTGTACTTACACTGGAGTGTTGCAAGACCGTGTTTCATTCACGGGGCACGTTCCGTTGCAGGAACTTTGTGTTATTATATTTAGACTACGAGTAGTCCCTCTTTTGCTTAGTCCGTCGTGCGTGACGCGAAAGAAAACCGCGAGAAAAAAAATGGCCGCGCGAAATCCTGGAGGCGCGCTCCTAGCCCCCAGGATTTCGCGCGGCCATTTCTTTCGCGTCACGCACGACGTACTAAACGAAAGAGGGACTACTCGTAGTCTATATGATATTCGGCGACCGGTGCTGGGTAGAGTTTCCACATGTAGCACACTTACTCCACGCACTCCACGTGTAAACACAGTTGAAGGGACAGCAGTCCGTATTGCATATTTTCGTTTCTAGCAAACGGTAATGGCAACTCCTTCCACAATATTCCGTGGTCGTTTTTGTCCGCGTGCGCGAAGTTAACCCACCGCCGCACGATCGAGTGCATGTATTCCAAGTGCTCCAGGCGCTCACCCTGTAGTTGACGGGGGAACAGCTTCGTCTTCGCCGACTACTCCACCACGCGTTTGAGGGCGTCAAAACAACAAGGATAGTCCCTATCACTAGAGTTACAGCAGCCCACCGCATCATGAATCGAATGGAACGGGTTTTTTTTCAAACGTTCGTTTTCGTGTATCTAAGTTACGCGCTAGTCAGAATTGATTCCGCGTTTCAATAAAGCTCTTCAAGCGGTGCTTTCCAGCGTTTAATATGTTGTGATTTAATATCGAATATTCTCACTCCACCACGTAACATGGGGTAAAGAGTTGCGAGAGATGATGTATCAGTGTCTCTTTCGGTTTTGGTATCCATTTCGGCTTTTTGTCGGTTTTTTCCCTGTTTCAGCGTCCGGTTTTCGGTTTTTGGATCTGATAACGTGGTTTTCAGTTTTCATTATTTGCTTGGCTAGTTTCTAGGCTCTTTATTTCAATCCTTGTAACTTCACGTAGCACGTGTACCATCTGTAGATGACGCAACTGGATCAGTTTACTGAAAGAGAGACCACTTCTTGTGCGGGTCTTGCATTGCAACCAAATTTGCTAGGGGTGTGTTCTACACGAATCAGAAAATATTTTCGATTTGGAGATTGGAATCATCTCCTTTTCTAAATGTATAACTCAAAGTGTAAGGGAATTGATGTTAGTTTGCATGTTCAAATGAAGTTTTCGTGCACTTATCACTTTAACTGATACATAAATAAAACGACATCTAGATTGCCCTCTTGTTTTGAAAAATCTACCAGTCGAGGGTTAATAAAAGGGTACAGCCGGCAATGATTTCAAATGAAAATGTCTTAATCTCTTTTCGTTATCATATACCCTGGACCGCCTCCTCCTGACACATTCCAGTGATGGAAAATATAAATGGCGCATTCTCATTTCAGTGGGAGGGAAATTTTAGTCTGCAAAACAGTCGTTCTTCGCATTCGGCTTGGCGCGAAGCACCAGGGGCGAGGCATTGATCTTCTCGCGAAGCGCGCGTGCATGTGAGGCGTCTTTTAAGCGTCTTTCTCCGGATTTTGCTCACGGTTTGCCACGGATTGATCACTCCGTAGCTTTCTTTTCTTGTTTGTTTTGTCAGTTAAAAGCTCCAAAGCTTTCGCTCAGAGACCGCGCGTTAATTCGCGTAACAGTCAGATAAATATGATCCACCTCAAATTAAAATGTACATATTAAAATCATATTCTTTTTTAGATCTTCCCAGTTCGGTCTCCGGGAATCGGTTCTTTTCGCAGCTATACTTTTAGCTCATTAAGACCCTACACTTCTGCCAAGTCGTATTTTTTTTCCCTTGCAATCTATCCTGTCCCCTCCCCGTCACTCGAGCTATCTCCCACTGATCTTTGCGAGTTTAGTTCGTTCACGTGCTCCAGGAAACATGGTGGAAAGTTTCGTGGAAAGTAACGTGTAGGTAAATTCCAAAGGTTTTATCTTTATTTTATAAGGGTTTGAAACGGTGATGTTAGTTGGAGTGAAACATAAGCTCACTTGCTTTACTGTTTTGCAAGTCGGAGCCAGAAGGTGGAATGTGGAGACGTTGAGTTTTTCACAACGTACGGTCCGCTCGCACTTGGTCAGGCTTTGAAAGAAGGTAAGCTAAAATCTTAGGTTGTGAACTGTTTTACAGTGCGACTAGATAATAAGATAAGACATGAACGTGTACCCAACAAAGTGTTTTCTGCCTTGTTTGAGACACATAAACTGACAAACTTACAGCCTTGTGTTTGTATAATCTAATATTTATGCACCTGTCAATGTTTGGCCCGAGCGGGAGGGTGGTGGGGTGGTGTATTTTCCGAAAAAAAAAAGTCAACATTCCTACCCCCTGGGGCAACGTGATTGGTAAAAAGTATCAAATTTCTCTACAATAGGGCCAAGAAAACTCATGAAAATATAAACATGCAGAGAAGTATCAACACAAGAAACGGTTGAAGTGAAAGCATTTTCCTTTAATTTGCAAAAGTGTAAAGTATGGATGGCTTTTGTAAAAGGATGAAAAATAGATTTGCTCACCCTTCATTGACCTCTTTCTAACATGATTTCCATCAGGTTCTGGACAAAGACCTCACTACTCCTAGTGACTTCTAGATGAGGGGGACATGGGGGTTCTGAACACTGCAATGCCACAAAAAAATTAATGAACACCGCATCTCTGCAAGAAAAGTCAACGAAACATCGTCACTGCAACACATATTTTTAGTGTCATGATTCGTTCATCTACACTTAAAATAATACTTTTATACCTCAACAATTTTCCACAAAAATAATAAGCACATCACAACGCTTTTCATTGTGCATATGTCTATAGTGCTGATGCCTGTAAATCTGTTTTCTTGCTCTTGTGAAGAAACCTCGCGTGAAGCTAGGAAGCGGACGAAGAAAAAAGAGAGGAGCCTCAAGAGATGGCCTTTACCCCAGATCCCTCTCTTCTTCTACTTCACTCACTTTTCTTCGTGTATAAATGGTCATAAACCCAGTGACTGAAGCCCTATCTTGACTGAAAGTATTGCTTTCCAGAGCTAGCTGCGTTTGCGTTCGATATTGATAATTGTCTGAAAAAATAGAAGGTCAAGAAAGTCGCAGGACCTTGGAGCGTGTATAGACTGGTATCAGAATGACCTCTAGATGAAGCCAAATAGCAAAAGGAAAAAATTAGTAAACATGTGTAAGTTACAAAGCTTCCTCAGCCAAGAAATCCTTCTTTCTTCCCTGTCGAGGTGACATCTGAATATATTTTGTCGCCGGTAGTTTTCGCCGCCTTTTCCTTTTTTCATAGAAAAAAGCTGTGCAGTCAATAATACATTATATTCGGCCTTGGCATTTCCAGAAATATTTCCGGGATTGTTTCTGTCCTCACTCCTCCACGTGTCTATGGAACACTGAGCTCCAGGTGGCAGAGGTCGAGTTACTTGTCAAGTTACGTATAAATGAACACAGCTTCGGATTGGCAGCAGAAGCATACTGAAGATTCACTAGACAGTGATGGTCTGTATTTTGTAACAAATTATTAACCTTAATGGTACGTGTTTGTCATAAATTAGCATAATTAATGAAGTTTACATGCTAAATTTAGGCCAAATTTAGGTTGAGAAAGGTAAATCAAAAAAGCCCAGCACCTCAAACAATTTCATTTCACTGAACACTGCGGCGTGAAAAACACAAACATCACACACTGTAGGGTTTGAGATCACCGCAACACCGCAAGTTGAGATTTTATTCACCACATCACTGCAGTAAAAAAAACATCAACACCACAATACTGCAAATCCCCATGTCCCCCTCCTAGATATTTACAAGATGACAGATGGTTCATTAAATGACTCTCTTGGTCCTTCAAGATGGCAACTGTGCAAAATTCCCTACCCTGAAGACATAACGTACAATTGAAATTTCTACCCAGGAGAAAGACCTCGCAATCAAAGTGCCCATGGGTACTTGTAGCTCACCCCCTTCTCAGGTTTGACATTGATAGGTGCATTATCATTTCTAAAATCAAAATCGTCACTTGCTCCTATTTGGATCTGCTACAACTCACATACACTGTATATATAGTATGGTCTCTTAGCGTTCAGATAACTTTACAAAGGGAAAATAAAGGTAGGTACTTTCTTTTTGTCAGAGGTCTGCAAAGTGGTGTTCCAGTGAATGTCGATATCCTCTCCATGGAATGTGTTTGGTTTGGACCCCACCCTCCCCCCCCCCCCCCCCCCCCCCNTTGATGTGTTGTTCCATACAATATTCCTACCCCTCCCGCGGAAGGTTTTTTGGTTACAACCCTCCCACACCTCCAGAAATTCCAGTTTGGCTTCATATTGTACTTTAATTCTTCTTTGGTTTTAAGGAACTTTCCCCATCCCCTTGGTAATTTCAATGACTTTCCATGCAGTAGGTATGAATATTTTCTAGAACTGCACAATGTATCTTTACATTATTTTATAGTTTTAATTTTACACCTGCTGTCAGTGTCACGTGCACAGGCGACATCTTTTGACCATCTTTCAACATGCTATGTAACCTGTACTACATCAAAAATGTAAGCACAATGGACTTCTTTATGGTCAAACTCAAATTTTAGAGATGAAGGACGGATATATTTGACATCAAACAAAGGTTAGGAGTATCAAGACGTTATTTCATGAGAGATCAATCGACTGTTTTGAATGTTTACATCTTGCGAATACTAAAGTGGTAGCAACCCAATTCTACCAATAGTCACAATTGAGATCCGATTGAATCGTTTGAATTATCTTGTAAATCAGGAAACATGCAAAGTCTGCAGTCTTCTTCAGCCATTGGATGTCGGTAATTATCATTCGTTTGTCATTTCTTCCACTAATAATTGGAAAAATTGCTTACATATCATGTCAAAAGATGGTCAAAAAAATGTCGCCTATGCATATAACACTGAAAGCAGGTGTAAGAATTTTTTAAGCTTGGAGTGCGTCTATCAAGTTATGGATGCACGTTGGAAATTTGAGAGCCCATCTGTATGCCTACTTGTACTTTTCACCACTTTAGGTCCATTTATTGGGGTTGTCTTTGACTTTTTCAAGTTATCTTGGAGAGGGGAGGGGGAGGGGGAGGGTCAGTGGCAAACATTTCTGCTTCTTGATTGGGAATGTGATCTCTTTAAATTTGAAAAATGTCATTTCTGACGATCGAGGGACGAATCAGTCGGAAATTATTATTCTGATGGCACATTGGAGAGACTTGGAACCATAAGTTAAATTTGTGAGTTACACATTAGGATACATTGAATCTGATGGCTGACTGACACATCGTCGATAAACTTTTCAAATTGAATGTCTTGTGTGAGTGTAGTCAGTGTGAGTACACTTAGCCTGTTTTAATCTTGCTTTTCAGGTGAGATTTTAACAGAAAACCAAGTGATTCAGAGCCTCTATAATCAGCATATCGCAGTTGACATGTATCCTGGTAAGCAAAGTGATAAGCCACTCTTGCTTTGATTAGATAATTTTTAAGTTACATATACTACCATGTTGCATGAAATACATGTAGGGTTTCAATTGTTGTCATTTTTGTTGGGTTTAGATGATATAAAAAAAAATCATGCAATAAATTACATTCTCAGTAGACATAATATTTTTTAGCAGCAATATATTCCACTCATGAAATTAATTTGTCAATATCACGTTTATTTGAAACACCTTTTATTTAGGAACAATGTTCAATATTGAATTACATGAACGCACAGGCTTTTAGTCTTGATTTGAATAGTGGGCATCCAAAACGTGCTGTAGGGTCTGCACATTGTTGAAGAACAATAACTAGTATATTTCAAAGCTCTCAGTTTCCATGCATTCACACAACAATAATATTATGAAAATTGATAAAACCATTTGAGCAAACAGATTTGTACCCTTGTTTATTTTAATGATCACTTGTCTGGTTTCATTTTGAGCCACTAACTCCTTCTTTTCTATTCTGCTCGTTCCTTGAAATTATTTCCCCAATTTAAAAGAATGACTCACAGAGATAACAAGAGGATGAATAAGTGACAGTTAAGGCTTGTATTTGGTGTTACTAAGAATCTTAACAAAATTATTAATTCTTGCAGGGAAAATCTTTATCTGTTCTAAATATATGTAGTAAACATAAGCTCTAATATAAACCAAAAAACCTTATCATTTGGAAGTTTTCGTTAAAGAAAGACCACCGAATTTCCTAGCTAGTGATTAAGACAGAGAAAATTTTGCATTTCTGTAAGAAATTGAGGTATAAGTTGATACCTGAGTTAAATAATTTTTTTATGGCACAAGAATGAAATGACCATCAATCTTAAATTGGCGCTGTTATTAATTCACAAAAAATATAATTAAGTCTCCATTTTAATGTGTCGATGACGTCAACTGAGAAAAGTCAGTGGACTTTTTTCAGAATAATAGGGTCTGCCGGCAAGCATTCTCTCTCTTTCTGCCAATAAGTAGCTCTTGCCTCAAAGATGTGTAAATGCTTTCTTGGGTTATTGGTTCATTTATTGGATGATTAACTGACTGATAGATATTATGATGCATGCTTTACTGAGTTACGATGCAAACACCTTATGTCATCAGTTTGACAATGCAATTTCGTTGTGCATTATTGATTTACACGTTAACATGCACTTGGGAATTTTTAAGAACTTCTGTGAAGTGCACTCAGGAGATCATTGACTGTTTGTTTTTAGTCAACTGACAGACTGTTCATTGTAGGCTAATTCACAAATTGACCAACATTAAACTAGCATGCTTAATGACTCATGCTGGTAGATCGATGCCAGACAGATTGGCTAACATATTTATTGATTTGTGGACGATTAATTTGATACACTGACCAGTCCACATGAATAAACTGCATTTAACCAGTGCTTCTTTCATATACATGTAGCATTAGCATACATTAAGTGTGAGTGAGTGATTGATTACTTAATTATAAGTTAATGATCGACTAACTGATGGACGAACTGATTTGGCTAACTGATGGACAGGTTGTCTGAGTGATTGACTATTCTGAAAACTGGGATCTGGACAGAATAATTTAAAGGCTCAGTGGGAAAAGGGCATAAGGTATTTTTGGTCTAAAGTGAACTTTGTCGAAAACACTCCAAATTTTGCATATGTTTTTGTTTAGGCGTGTTCAACAATGTCCTGTAGTTTATTCTGCTGAAATTTGCTTCGTTTTCAAGATACATGCATTACATAGGCAAAAAACTCTTATTCATAGTCATGTCAGCTTGTGACTGCAAAGATGTTGATTTCACTTAAATAAAAACAGCAAAATGTTGATTTTATGTTAACGCGCAACCGCAAAGATGTTGATTTCACTTAAAAACCAGCAGAATGTTGATTTCACGTTAAGGCGTAAGCTCAAATTAATGTTGACTTCACGTCAAAAACAGTTAAAATGTTGATTTCACATTAACACGTGACTGCAAAGATGTTGATTTCACTTACATGTAAGGTCACTCCAAACCTTCCCATGGTTACTTTTGCCAAAAATTAGTTTTTTGTCCAAATTAACCCATTGATGCCTGAATGAAATTGCCCACAACCCACCCCTAATTCCCTTGTGTTTTTTGGAATATTTCAGAGTGAGCAAAAGAACAAAAATAAACCATATGCACAGTAACCACAGACACAAGATCAGGTTTCAAGACCTCGTTTACTTAAAGTTGAATAAATGAAGGGCCAAAAGACTAAAAAATATAAACAAAACAACCCTAGCCTGATGTATAAACTGATAAGTAAACAAGAAATTATATTGTTTCTTTACCACGCGACAAAATGTCCCTCAGAAGCCGAAAAAAATTGAGTTAATTATTGACTTTGGAGAACAAAACAAAACCAAAAATACAACAGAATTTCCATTCTTGTATTATAGCGGCTAACATTTGAGGAAACAACGGAAAATAAAAGCGAAGAACTGGTGTAAAAATCAATCTGGAAACAATAAATCAAATAATTTCTTTGCTGCTTGACGAAATTAATTACGGTGCTGCGAAAGAAAGATGAAAGTAAGAAATCAAAAAGACGACAAAAACAAGCAAGCCAGTTATTTTAAGATCAGTTGTATTTCAACTGTGTTAATTAGTGGGCATTTAGTTCTTTTCTTGGCAGTTTTGTAGTAGCTGAATAAAACTCCAAAAAATATTTAAATGAAGCAAATAGGCTAAATAAACAAACCATGGCGGTTGTAGGATTAAAAACTTCTTCATCGGAAAGATTTGAGGACTTTGTACTGTTGGATCTTCCATTCTGAGGCCACCTAATTTGTATTTTTCCTTTCTATTTTAAAACCCAAAGCAGTAATTTCTCTGCGTTACGAATGAAAGCAAGACCTTGGAAGTTTTTAGCTTTGACCGGCAACACGCCATGACTACCTGCACTTTTCTGGTGCATGATCTTAAGAAGAAGAACCATCTTTCTAGGACCCCTAAAGTCCTCTAAAAATATGCTCAGAATGTCCATTCTGATTGGTTCGTTTGTCCTTAAGAACAATAGAACAATAAGAGAACCAAAAAGTCTCCAGGGAGGGTAGGAAAGGTAATTATTATCCCCAAGTGCTTTTTTCAGGTGGGTTAGGGTGGCACAGGGAATTAGAGGGGTTTTTCAAACGGGCAGCTATGGGGCAGCACAGGCGTTGATGGGTTAAAGTTCATTATTTAAGGTATGGTACCATTAAAAAAAAAAATGAAAATGAAATATTAAAATGTGTGTGAGTTATTGGGAAAAAGAGATTATTTTAATAAAAGTTAATAAACCACCAAGGTGTCATAATCCCCAAAAGGCATGGACTTCCATGCAAACGGCTTAATCCAAAGATCCTATATCAGATGCTTTCAATTTTACCGGACACAGAACTTACTTCGGAGATTTAAATTCAGTCAAGAGTTCCTCCTTGCAATCACGCTTTGGCACATGCTCGAAGGTTTGTGTTTGTTTTGTTGCACATTGCTTTTGTTTTGTTTTGCCTATTATTGTTGACTGCCAGCCTAAAACATGTGGGCCTAAAATGTGTGCGTCTAAAACAAGACTGTAACACTATCGCTTTCCTACGAAGGTCCAGTTTGTTTACTATGAACTCTAGGGGTTCTGTTATTTCATTGGCTGGTGGCTTTTTGAGTTGACATATCCCTCTGAGAAGGCCTGTTTATAAATCTTCAGAAGGTGAAAACTTGCACTCGTTTTTCAAGAGAATTCCTCCTTTTTGAATGAATTAATAGTGTACTATGTTGAATTGACAGTTTTCTGTGAAATTTGGCCAGAACCTATACTGATAAATAAGGAACAAAAGTGTGGCGGCAAATTCTTTTATTTGAAATACTTTTCTCGTGGTGGCCCCTAACGCAACACCTTTTGCTAATTGTTCAATAGTGGAACTTATAATTGACAGATCTATAAAAAGGTAACCAATAGAAATACAAGAAAATGGTGACACAGAGATGCTTTGTGATTAGCACTGTACAGTTACTCAGTATCAACAATCACATTTGATACCCAATTAATTCGCTGTAATGTCAGTCAATCATTTTGGCATTAACGGCTTCTGCCGCCTTAAGAAAGCAATCACCAAAACAGAACATAATTTTATTGAATTCTACATCTCATAACCTTTCTATTGATGTACAGTTTGTTGGGGGTTTCCTTGAAAACAGCGCGTGTAAGAAATTTTTTTCCAGAGCACACTCACAAAAGTTTGGAGTAACCTTAACCAAGCTTTTTTAGCCGTTGCTAAGGAAATTTCATTCACATATAGCTTTGTCATTTTTTGTTAGTTCAGAGTTATTTCGTGTGTTTTAACTTTTTCCTGATTGGTAACACTGGTGATGATGTCATCATGCCATGCCCATGGTCATGTGACTAATTCTGAAAAAATGTGAAGGCTGCTGAGCATATTACTTCATCGGAATTTTTTTCATTGACTTAATATTTTGACTTTAATCTTTATTGCGCTATGCATAGATTTTGTTTCGTTTCTAAAGTGTCAGATTTTGAGAGAATTTCAAAATGTTGAAAAATTTGTTAGTTTTTGAAAATAGTATGATTTTTCAAAAGGAATGCATAGCTATGTTTCCAATGTTGGCTTAAATCGTAACTTGTTGAAAAAGTTGGATTTCTATCAGTAGTTACCCTATCAGCGCTTGCGCAGCTCACACCACCAGCAGCTCAATAAGATCAAACGAAGCACACAAAAGTGACACAGAGATGGGTTTTCTTTTTCTTTTGCCCTTGTTTTGCTGTTTTTCTCTTGGTTTGTTATTGCCTGTACTTTTTCACTTTGCATTTTGTGAAATACAAACTTAAGAAAAAAAACATCTATTCGACAGCGCATTTGCAAGTTGTTGAATTGTTTAAATTTTCCTAGCTCAGATGAAAAATTTATGTTGAATGTTGTCAGTGTCAGGTTAAAATTTCTGCAATTCGGTTGAATCACTGGAGCTTTAGAGAACACAATGGAACTAACTGAGGGCAAACAGAGGCAAATTAAACTAGACTTGGTCTGAGGACAAGATCCCTGTGAAAGACATCACAAGAAGTTACTCTGTAGTTGACACATTCTAACTGGTTATAACACTTAGTGGGCTTCATGACTTGAGGAAAATATATTTTTGTAGATAACCTTTGGTCTGTCTATGAATTGTTCAGAAGAAGCCAGTAATTACATGTAGTTATCTGATATTTTTAACTTGACACTGAAATGATTTAATCTGTTTTCCAGATCAGAAGCCAACAGGGACAGAGTGGACCAAAGCTTCGAGCAGTTATATTTAGAAGGAATTAATGTTTTATTTTGCAATCCAGCTTTTGGGTGAACCAGGTTAACAAAGCTCTCAAATAAGCCAAGTTCTGTGCTAATTACTTGAATTCAGTCATGCAATGTATTCTGCCATGCCATTGATTGGCACAATGAGTAAAAAGAGCTCTCAAAGAACGTTTTTTAACAATACAGTTTCAAACCATTATCATCAATCAAACAAAAATTGTTTAACTGTTCTGGAGCCAAAATTATTGTAAAAGTTCAAACATGCATTGTACTTGAGATGTTTCCCCAGACTAAGGTGACGTGTTGCTGAGTGACGAATTTACTGAACTAATTGACTGGCTGATTGATTGACTAATAATTTTTCTGATTGGCAAACTAAATCTTACAGCAAGAATGATTATTTGACTGAGGAACTGATGCTGATTTTATGTGTAGAGAACATATTCAATATGTTTGTCAAACATAAAATCAGCGTCAATAATTGGCTGAGTCCTTGAGTAGTAAACTGATTGACAAACTAGTTGAAAAACCTGCCTACACCTGTAGCAAGCTTATTGAGATTGAAAGACCAGCTATTTTACTGCTGAACTGATTAACAGACTGAATAAGGTACTGATTGAGATTGATTACCATTGTGATATATGATTGATAATGATAAATGACTGGATGTACTGACTCACTGACTCACTTACGCACTGATTCACTGATGCTCTGATGCACTGACGCACTGATGCACCGAAACACGGACACACTAAGGCACTGACTCACTCACCCATTGACTCACTGATCCACTGACTCACTAACTCACTGACTGACTCAATGACTGGCTGACTGACTGATGGACAGTCAGACAGATGGATGAAAGAATAGACCAACTGACTGACTGTCTGACTGATGGATTGACTGACATGTTTTGACAAACTGATTGGTGAATTACATGTACCTGTAATTGGCAATTTACATTTATCATGCCAATCAACAGTAACTGACAGGCAGATGATTGGCATACTAAATTAAGGTTGAAGACCAAATAAACTTAATTTGTATCAAACCGATTGGCTGATTTGAGAAAAGGTGTGAATGAACCTGCTGACAGACGGACAGCATGACAAATAAACAGAGAGACAGACACACAGACCTGTCAGACAAAGAGATAGACTGATGGATGGATTGACTGACCAACAAACACAACTGACTGGCAAACTAACCGACAAACCTAAGTTTAAATTCAGTTTTATGAGAGCCTCTGTCTATTCGTGTGGGTACTGTGGGCTGTTTACAGCCTCTCTCTTTTCTTAGAAGACTTTGGAGTGGACATGAAACTGAAGAATACCAGGCAAAGCAAGTGACTTTGAAAGCTCACTCTCAGGGCTTACAAGGGTGCTTGCTTTACTTGTGATTCTTCAGTCTTTTGTGCCTGCCACAGTCTTGTTAGGAAATAGAGACTGTAACAGTCTACACATGTGATCTTGGTATAGAACATTGCATGTCTGAGTTATTTATTAGTACAGTTGAACCCCCGTAAATGACCACCTTGTGTAGAGTGACTATTGAGAGTTACAAGTGTAGTAGATACATGACTAAGTTTAAAGTTCGCAAAATCGTTTTGTGCAGCCAAATTATTTGAAGTGAAATCTATCAATGTAAGCACCCCGTTAGCTTAGCAAAGTGTACAGGAGGTTGGGTATGGGTGGTTCAACTGTATATTTACTGTAAACATTGATGGGTACGTATTTCAGAACATTTTCCTTGCTTTTCCTCCGCCGTACCGTTGAAATCTTGAGCAAACGCATGGTTAAGATTGAAGCAACATTTTTTTCTCGGAAAATAGAGAGCCAATCCAGTTTACCATTGCGTGACCAATTTAACTTGTTTTACTAAAAGAACGTAATGATGTCACGCAAGACAAGAATTCAGAAACGCAAGTATCTACCGAAGTGTTAGTCTTGATCCAGTGTTTTATGATAGCAGTTATTTGGAAACCAGTCTTGAGAGCAAATCAGTGTTGAGGTTTTGAAAAACGTACTGAGTCAGTCCCAAGAGTGATGAACATACTATTTCTCCTTACAACATTTACAGATTTCCAATTAGACAGGTGATGAGAACAAATAAAATCATCAACTCGAAATAGGTTTGATGTACCACCAAATTCTCAAAACTAACATCCAAGCACTAATTAGTAAGGAGAATTAATATGTTCATCTTTGGACTGTTATGTTTACAGTAATCAAGGATTTGATAGAACTTAACAGTACGATTGAAGAGTGGTTTTAGTAAATGGTTTGTTTCTGTAACGCCATGGATACATTTAAAATTTAATTTGGAGTTGAAAAACAACTCAGCACAAATTCCTTCGTCTTGGGATCGTCACGCAACTGGGCGCGAAAAAACGTCACACTTGCCCTTTTGCGTGACGAGCTCAAAAAGGGTTTGGAAGATAGCTATGTAACTCAGGCTTTGGATTGTATCTCTCGGGTTTTGGAATGCTTAAAAGAAGTATCTGTGGCGTACGTTGGCATGAGAAATGAGCTGTTTACTAAAACTAAGCTATAACCTTGCTGCTAAGTTTTCTTGAGACCTCTCCAGAACTTGGCTTATTTTAGAGAGTTCATCTGGTTCACTGAAGCGGTTGGATTGCAAAATAAAACAACACGGGAGGAGAGATAACAATATTTTATTGAAATAAAAGTTGTCTGACTTGTCCATTATTTAAAGTTAAAAAAATAAAATAAAAAAGAATCTAGCCAATCTTGTCCCTGCTTTTGGGTTGCTTCCACTCTGCCCGAGAGTCGATGTTGTTTCTTTTGTCCTCATTCAATATTCCAACTTTAAAATCCTGGTCTGTTTTATCTGATGCCCTCATCCAAGCCGGGGACAGTTGAACACTTGAAAGAGTAGACCGTTTGCTCCCAAGTGGGGTGGACAGCGTAAAGCAAAGTGAGAGTTTGCTCCCCGTGTCTTTGGGGTCTCAGTCTTAGTTTGTCACAATGCCACACGAGTGATTTTGGAATTGATCAGTGGAAAAAAATTAACATGCCAATTTGTAATTTGATTGAAGATGCTAATCCGCAATTCAATGCATCGAAAAAAAATTAATAATTTGCCAAAGTGGCAGTAAATTTAGTAAGCTCGCCCTACCCGAAAATTTTAGATAAAACCCTATTTGAATGGGAAATGTCCGCAACCTGGACAAGAAAAACAGGAGCGCTAAAGAACGGCGCCCAATTTCAGTGCATAACCGTTGAAATCAAGGAAAGAATTGAACTCAGAATCCTCCAGTCTGACTTCCCGACCAAACCACCGGCAGACCGTCATTCCACAAACTTCAGCAAAGAGCACAAGTCGCTAAACGTCTCTCATCAGTGAAGATACCGATGTCAAGTTTCTCTCTTTAATTTGGATGAAAGAAATTGGCCGACATTTATATTTATATGTTGAAAAAGGTTCAGTCATGTTTAATGAATACAGAATATTGCAAAAGGTTTAAGTTAATTAGGCGCATTCAGCTTGTTTGTTTATTGCCCCGTTTCACATCACGTGATGTAACCCTGGAGAGTTATTTCTTTCAAATATAAACCGTATTCCCGAGCGAATGAATGAATAATTTTTACAAGACAATTCTCCTGAGAGCATCCGTGATCTGAAACCAGCAATTAACATACGAAGCTGACAGGGTTTGCTCTTTTGAAAAATTGAACGAAACATACCCATGTAGGTCGAACTGCTCCTGATAGTTTCAAACATTTGGAAGTCAGTGTGCGTTTACGTTATGCGTTAAATTAAAGTCCCGCTCAAATTAAATATTAATGCGCTCAAAGATTCATTCCATAAAAGCCAAAAGTATAAATTTGTTACCTAATTTTGTTGTGATTTTTTTTAATTGGCCGAGTTTTGACTTGAAATAGTTCAAAAATCTAGCTTGACTTGATGTCTTCTTTTATAGTACGAAAAAGATCAAAAGTAATTGGATATTCCCATTTAGAGAGATAGCAACGTCCTTCGAAACCGTGACCTGCGGTGTCATGCAAGGTCTCTGTTGATCAAACATTGGGTGACAAATGAAATAAGAGAATTTTAGTGGTTTTGTTGAATTTTGGTGGAAATAGGGAGAAAACCCCTGGAAAAAATCGAGCCCAGTTAGCAAGCACTAACCGACAGTGTTTAAACTAAATTTAAGAATGACGAAATGCTATATTGATTTAATTTATATTTATAAAACTTATATTTTATATTTAAATTCAAAGAGAAGCAAATTACAATTTTGGTGAATAGTTTTTAATCCCTATTTGATTACCCGTGTTGTTTATAAATTGAGCTATTGAAACTGCTTAAAGTGATGATCATTGGAAGATGTTTCAGGATTCCCCTTCATCAACAGACTGATTAGCCGTTACATGAAACACTGTAATTCCTCAAACACCTAAAATATATCTGCTTGTCATCACTAGCTGATTAACAAAAAAGAATGATTCAACGGACCATTTTCGTATTCTCGGTATTGGACTGGAACTACCTTGCAAGTGAGGCTAATGCGGGGAGTCTTTTCAAATGCAAATGATATTATTCTATGTTTAATGATATCCCCCCGCATGAGCCTCTATTGCAAGCTAGTTCCAGTCCAATACCGAGAATACGAAAATGGTCTATTCAACGATCCAGAAACTTTGGGAGACTGGCCACCAACTGTCAGCACTAGGATTTCTAGGATATTTTGGGGAACTAGTGCAAGATGTGATTAGTTTTTGGTAACCAAGGTAACCTTTGACCAATCATGGCTCATGTTGGCAACCAAAGCAATTCAGAATTCCTAATGCCGAAAGTTGGTGCCTAGTCTTCTAAAGTCTCTGGAGTGGCAAACTAATGAAGGTTACTTTCTGGAAAATTGAAAATTATAAGCTATAGTTTGCGTGAAAATGAAAATAGAGAATGAGAATTATTAAGCTGTGTGAAAGTATTTAAAGAGGGAAATGAGAAAAGTCTCAGAAATAAATTTAACAAGAAAATACTCTGTTTCAAAAAAATCTGCTTTGTTTATAATTTGACCTATAGAATTTAAATTTTTAGCAATTTATTTTTAAAGTTTAGATTTTAAAAATCCTAGAAAAGAGAGAAAACCGGACCCAGCAGCAACCCAATCAGAGAGACCCCCAGTGACCGTTAGCTCAATTTGATGTCATTTGTAAAAATCCAATCAAGTCAGACCAATGAAATTCAGTGCTCTCCTCTGTCCATGCTTTCTCTAGAGATGCACCTTCCTTGGGTCCCACAATTCAGCACTCCTGTTTTACGTCCTTGATTGTGGAACATTTCCTGATACACTGACTGCAAAAAAGCATCTTGCCAGGCCGAAAAATGCCGAATTGATGGTGTAGTATTGTGACAAATTAAGTGAAACCCTAAAGACATGAAAAGCAAACTCTCACCTTCCTTCATGCTGTCCACCCCACTTGAGAGCAAACGGTCAACACTTCTAAGTGTCCAACTCTCCCCAGCTTGAATTACAGGATCAGATAAAGTTTCCCAGGATTTCTCAGTTGGAATATTTGAGAGGACATCAGAAACACACACCTTCTCAGAGACAGAGCTCCCACAACCCAGCAGGGACGTGATTGGCTAGATTTGAATATGACCACCTTGGTCTTGGTGTGTGTGCCACCTTCTGTCCTGGAATTAAACCATAACCTAAAAACTTTAGTAGATACATGCAAGCTCACTAGCAGTACAAATACCTAATAAAGAAAAATGGCTCTTTCCTGGTGACACAAGCACAGAAAAAAACGAGATTGAAACCTTAAGCTAAACAGGCTGTGCTACTTAGCAAGAAAGTCCTACAAGGTTAAAAAAGCCAGTTCTGAAAAAAAAAACCTATAACTTAATTGTGAAGCAAATTAACTGATGAAAATGTCTAAAGGAAACCTAAGCATGCATTCAAAATATAATGACTTGCAAAACCAAGAAAGAACCAAGAAATTCATGCAAAGCAAATTAAAATATATTGATGTTCATCACCAGTCTGCATTATGAAATTCATTACCACTGTGATCATTTTTATGACGCTTAGTTAAAGTTTGTTCCTACTTAGACGAGAGCATCACGATACTGTTTCTAGATTAAAATAAAAGGAACATTAAAGAAACTAGCAAAACTTACGGTTAAAAATGCAGACTGTTGATCTAACTTTGTCTTACCTTAGATATTAAATGTTATTATAGCCAAGAATAATTGAGAAATCAAAAGTAAAATTTAAAAAAATCGGAAAACAAAAACAGCCCTAATCCAAAACAAGTCCTAGTAAATGACTTACGTGTACACGAAAATTAAATTTTGCCAATTCTAAATGGTGGTTCTCTTTTATAAAGAACCTTTTGTTTTCATATGGTTGCCCTTCAAAAACGTTTTAAGTGTTGGCTTAAGGCCAAAACATTCACCTTAATGAAACGTTTAGTACGTCTTGAATGTAATAAATGACGTCAAGTACTAGGTAAATATGACGGGTGGCAAAATAAGACTGTCATTACACCTTACAGCTAATAATTGCATCTTCTGTGGTGCTTGAAAAGTATTAATTTTCTGCCTGCCTGTGTAATTTCAATCTGAGCTAATGAGCTTGCAGATCCACCAATGTACAAAGTAAACTAATATAACCAAAGGAAGCATTAGCAATAATTTTACAAATTGTGAATGAAAAATACCTGTTAGAGTATCTTGAGATTATTCAAGTTATAATTAAAAATGCTTCCCTTGATACAACCACCATCAAGCTGCCCAAGCAAATGAAAATCGACATTGAAGGTGAATGAAAAAAGAATCACTTTTAATAACTGACTTCTTGGAATTTGCTACCAAAATACAGTGAAAACAAAGATTATTTTAAGATTTTCAAAAACTACAGTATGAGGCAGCATGATGCTGATTTTTGTTAAATATTTTACTATAAAGAAATACACTAAAATAACCAAGTAATCATTTAGCAAGCTTTCCTCTGAGCAGCGAAAGGGAGGGGGACTGAGGAGTGAAGTACGTGCCAGCTATAAATTCTAAGAGTTCTCAGTTCCCCCTAACATAAATTTATCATAACTTGTAATGAAACACACTCCTTGACTGAAGCTAAATAGTGAAAAACTGGGTGTCCTGAAGCCCTCTAATATCAAATCAAATTTGCAGAAAGTTACTCAATGTAATTCCCATTTTTTCTTTTAGACTAAGAATGATACCTGGTTAGTATGTACCCAATTAAATGGGAGTTGTCAAGCAGTTATCATGACTGGCTTACTCTCTGTTTTTCCTTACTAAGTTAACCAGAACTCGGCAAATTTCTGAAGTTTGGGACTATCTTTCTTTAAGTTCAAAATTTTAGTTTCAAGGAAAATAATATTAATTTACTGTGCTTTATGTCTTTCTTTTGTTTTGTAAATAACGCGAATTTTGAATTGAAGAAATAAACTCTTGACATTTAGTTGAAAGTGAGTTTGTTGTGCTAATCTTTGCTTGATCCTTTCTGAACAATAATTACTAACTACGACTTCAAGAGTAAAAGGGTTAAGGGTAAAAGAAAACCACTGTTCAAAGGAGTCTTGTGCTGGAACATTCAAACCTAACTCAAATGGAACAAACAAGTGCAAGTAGAGTAATATTTACAGTTCAGTGTATTCAAATCAGCCAGATGGAATGGGTGAAAAATGAAAATAATATAATTTCATGATTAACTGGTTTACTCCATGGAGTCAGAGGTCTTTACTGCAGAATGTAATTCTCTATAGGATAAGCATGCATACAACAGCAAGAAATCCCTGCGAATGAGTTGGTGGTTGGGCATGGTAAAGTGTACTATTTTATTCTTTTATGACGCAGTCATTCACTTAGAATGTAGATCTATAACAATGTTTTGTCAACCTTCTGCTAGCCCTCACCTCACCAGATGAAGACTAGCAGTAAGTAGCCAGAACATTGTCATCTACATCCCAAGGAACTACATCATGAGCAAAACAACAATGACACCTCTAACTCCAATCAACAACCGAGTTACTTATGTTCATATAACATGTACTACTTGGGTGAGAATCAGCCGGAAAATTGAATTTTTTTTTTTTAAAAAAAGCACTTGTTTGAACAATGGCGGCACACACACCTACATGTAATAATCTTACTATCTTTCCCTTAATGCTCATTGCTAAAGTGACAAGACTATGACTTGCATTGATGATGTGGTTTGTATAGTTTGGACTGTTTGTAATGTTTGACTGATGCACCACGTCCAGTTAGTCAGCTGTAGTTGGTTAGTTCAAGTATGAGAGGCAGTCTCTTCTTAGCCTGTCATGTAATTTGGTTTTAAGTCTACCATGAAGAACTGGTGTCAGGTCTCTGACGTCTTAGTGCATCTATTTTGTAGTGGTAGTTGGTCATGTTCACAATACTGGTAGCACTTTGATAGCATGTCAATGTGTTGTTGAGTTGTTCAGGTGAAGGTGCAGGTAGTAGTTGGTGTCAGATGTTGTCAGTTTCTATCCATCTGCTAGTCAGGTTTGTGTTGGTTCTGTTTGCAGGAAAATTAAATTTGTTGGTTGGTTTGTTAAGGTCATAAGTAAGTCACTTACAAGGTGCAAGTAGTCGTTGATGCACTGGCTCTGTTTCAAGTTAGTTTATTGGTTGGTTTGTTGTAGTCATGAATAACATTTGTAAGGTGATAGTAGTTCCAGCATCAGATTTTGTCAGTTTTAATCCAGCTGAAGTCTGTATATGCCCATGTATTGTCGGTCTGTCAAATCTACACTGGTTCTGTTTGAAGTTCAAGTATGTTTGTTAGTTTGTTTAGGTCATGAACAAGTCATTTGTAAGGTGCAGGCAGTTCTTGGCATCAGATATTCACAGTTTCAATCCACCTATGTTCTGTCAAATCTATGCTGGTTAGAACTGTTTGAAGTTCAAGTTTGTTTGCTGGTTGGTGGAGGTCATGAATAAGTCATTTGTAAGGTGAAGGTAGAGGGTTTGTCAGTTGTAATCCATCTAATATGTACATGTACAAGTATTGTTAGTCAATTAAATTTGCACTAGTTCTGTTTGAAGTTGTCAGTCTCAAACTAATTGTTAGTGGGCAAATCTTAACTGTTTCTGCTTGATGTTAAAGTTTGTTGGTTTGTTTGATGAGGTCATGAATGAGTCATCTGAATGGTGCAGGTAGTCATCTTTGCATCAGCTGTACAATGTAACATGTTCCTTTTGAAATTAATGTTCGTTAGTTGCTTTGTTGAGGTAGTTGTTTGTGAGGTGCAAGTAGTTTGGGATGGCAGTATGTTTTTGTTAGTCTCAATTTGTCTAATTATGTACAAGTAGAAGCATTGTTAGTTGGCCGAATCTACACTGGTTCTGTTACATGTTGGTTTGTTGATGTCATCCCACCATACAAATGCAAGTAGTCTGCCAAATGTTTATTACAAAAGCCTAGTCAAAGACTACAAAGCTAAAATTAAAGCAATAAGCAGGTTATCTGAACTGGGGTTGTGGAACAACAGCTGGGTGAAAAACCTCCCCGTACGTCCACTTGCCCCTAGGAGGAAAACCCCGGGCCAGCTGTACCCCATGTTCAAAGGCCTCCTGGGCTGGGCCTAGTAAATACATAGACAGACAAGAGACTACATGTACTTATAAATGAATCAAATTTGTTACACTGTATATTTATGTCTTTAGAATGGATTCTAGAAATAGCCAAAAATACTATTTCTTGCAACCATCTTTAGAGAACATACTGATCTCTTCATGTATATGTATGTGTGGCATGATATATTTTCGGAAGAGTTCATTTTGTGGATTTAAGGTTTTAGCTTAGTTTGTAATTCAAAAAGCCCCTATAATTTCTAGCCAAAGGTAAAAGAATAGATGTCCTCCAATGCAGATTAGATCAATTTTACATATTTTGCATGTAATTCAGAAGAAAATCTGCTTTGTTGCATTAATTTCATATCAGTATTCTGCCAATTAAAATTTGAAAGAAAATCACAAAATTTACCAAAATGGAAGTCTCTAAAACAGCCCTTATCATGCCATATGTACTGTATTACATTGGTGTCCTATTAGTTAAATATTCTACTTTCTTTCAATTATTACCGTCTTACTATTTATTACACCATAAACTTTGTTGTCATCTTATCTTGAAGACCAATCTTTAAGCATCCTCTTCTGTGTCTTAAACCTGTTGCCCACGTTCTAGTCCCTCCAGGTCCAGGCTGTCTCTTCATTATCCCTGCTGTCTGACATACTGCAATGACACAAGCAAAATGATAAGGGGACTGAGTATTTTGTGAGTTGTGGAGATGCAAGCTGGAGTGTCAAGTTGCAGGTTGCAAGTTGCAAGTTACTAGTTGGAAGACTCGGGTTGTGAGTTGCGAGTTGCATACCTGATTCTAGGCTTCTGGATGGGGAGAGAAGGGCCGGGATAGACTACAAGCTATGGCTGTTGTCAAGCTCGCATGGCTCAGCAAAGTTCAGGTTGTAATGTCCAAAACTGAACAGAGAAAACTTTTGGCAAGCTGAGCCGCCTGATCATCCAACGATCTAAAGCAGCCCCAATGAAATTAAAAAAAAAATTATAAATCTCCTTATTCTTTGATAGAGCTTCCTACATGTAAGTAACAGTCTTTGTTTGGAACTGGCCAAGTTTGCATACAAAATTTTACATTTTTGGTTAAACAGTAACACACTATTTTTGGATGATTTTTTCCTGTGAATTTTGCAGATCTCTTTGCTTTTTATGTGTTTATGTAATTCAACTGAATATTATGCAGTAAAGGACATAGCAGTTCTTAGAGAGAATTGCCTTAGTTACTTCCTTGAAAAAATCTACCCGACTAACTCTGGTGAAGGAGTGGAAGATCAAGGGGGACACTAAACACAACTACCAAAGTCAACTTATACAATCTTCAAGCAAAGGAACTTGTGCAGGTTTTTGCAATTGGCCTTCCAACCATCTTTGTAACCAATCGTAAACACTGGGAATTTATTTTAGCTACTTTGTTGGGGCACATCACATTGGCTTCCATCGTGGAAGAAAAGCTAGGAAAAGAACAAAAAAGGCCTGTGTGCAGAATGTTATTGGCCAAAAGCTGCATTCCCGTGAGAGTTTCTAACATTTTCCCACAGATAAGAGAAAGAGTAGACCTACATGTGCATTGCATTTTGATCTGATATTGAAATTATCAACATTCGGATCGTGCAATTATTACAAATTCAGATTTAGATTACTTAGCTTGTATACTGTGGAGATTGATTAGTACTGAATAGCATTAAGGTTTAAAGCTATTTTATGTACAGTAGTAGTGATTTGTCCTTGTTTTTGAAATTGCCCTATTTCAGCCTTTTCTAACAGTACATTACAGCAATACATATCTACAAAATATTCCTGAAAAATAAATAAAATAAATATTAAATACCCAGGTTCGATTCCTGGCTGAACCACATTTTTCACTCATTTCTTTAGTTGTGTAATTTCTGTTCCTTCTTAACTTTATTTGTATTTACTTGACAGATAACACTCTAACTGGGAATAGGGTGGTGATCCTCGGGAAATGAAGCAATCAGTTGCTCAAAATCCTCTCCCCAACCTTACTCCTCATTAATTGCCACAGCGGGACTGGGCCGTGAATCATCAATTGACCGGGGGGTAGTGAGGTGATCCTGATTGCAGAAAAATGTGATGTACGTCTCCTCAGACCTAGCCACATTAAGGTCAATTATCGGCCACGTTGCTGGCATGGTTGGTTCAATGGCTGAGTGGTTTAGGCATCCGACCGGTAATCTGGACACCCAGGTTCAATTCCTTACTGAACCACATTTTTCACTCATTTCTTTAGTTGTTTAATTTCTGTTCCTTCTTAACTTCATTTATAAATGAAATAATAGAAGTGAGATCAATATCGAATTTCTTCCAGGCTGTGCACTGGTGTAAAGGCAATTTGTTAATTTCTTAACAAACCGCTCTTACGCCACTGCAAGACAACAAGTCTGGGAAGAACAAATATTACCGTGAATTCTGAAAGTAACGCGTTCCCCCCCCCCCCCGAAAATAGCGACTCCCCAAAAGTAACGTTAATTTTTCCCTTCCTATTGAGCCCCAAAAGTAATGGTCCCCCCGAAAGTAACAGCCCTTTGAAGAAGTCACTAAAAGAGAAAGTCTCTGTCCTCATGCAGATGGAACAGCCTGAGTGCAGGACTGAACCGTGACTTGAAGAACTCTCTGTGATTTTATTTCGAACTTGACTTAATTTTTCTTCAAACTATGATTTAGCAACTGTGTTTGTCTAGCAGCAGAGTCAAATGATATACTGTGGGGTTATCAGTTGTATTGCGATGTAATGCGACAAGTATACTCTTGATTCACCCTACGGTACCAACCGGTTTGGGGCCTTTTTCTGTTTATACAGTCTGCTTAGTTTATGAGGGTAGTTGGAAACATACATCAACGGAAGGTTTAATTTCTTAGTTACATGTCTGCTTTGCCTGAAACGACTGTTACTGCACAAACGTTTTTTGAACATCCAAAAGTAACAGGGGCTGTTACTTTCGGAATTCTATGGTATGTCCAGTAGTAGAGTTACTGTGTCTATTACATTCACAGCGGGAGGCGCGGTGGCCTCATGGTTAGTGCGCTCGTCTCCAGATCGAGCGGTCCGGGTTCGAGCCCTGGCCGGGGACATTGTGTTGTGTTCTTGGGC